AACTCACGAGGACCTCTGTTTTTTACTGTCCGCTACAAAATATTGTCTGAACAATAATAGTACAAGTTCAATTAACTGTGACTGTATATACTGTAATCTCATATATAAGACTGACAGAGCGTGAGTGCACTATGTTGCCAAACGTGCTCTATAGCGTTACTCGTACATATTGTAAAATCTTTTTATCTATTTTTATACCTCCTGTTAACCTTTTGCACTCCAAAGGTGCCTCTCAGTCAGATTGGTGCATGAAAATTGCAAAATTGTATTTAACATTAACACGTTAAGCGCCACGAAAATCTTAAGCGTTTTCCCATAGAGTTTGTCTTTTGTAGCAAAGAAAAGTAGGAATACTTATGAATTGTTTGCAACGTTTGCGTTACACTGTTATCAACTTAGTTGCTTTATTAAACATTTTTATTTCACATCGGTCGTCTTGTATGTTAAGATTGTTTTTCAGTCATTCGGAAGCGTCAGTCACCAGTGGCTGACATGGCGCTTAACGTGTTAAATGTTGAGTAATCTGTCGGTACGTGAAATGTGGAAATAAAGTACCATTGTTCCCCTTACTTTGTGAATCGACTCCACGTTGAGTTAGTTTAACACGTTGAATGCCATGGGGGTCACCGATGACCCCCGCCCAAATTCAGTCACTGTGATTCTCTCAATTAAACGATGATTATATGAAAACGTTCCTATATTGTTAATAACGCTACCTAATGCGGGGACATTCAGTTTGATGAACGTGCAATGATAATAATCCAATTCAGTCAAATGATTTAATATCGTATTTTTTCCATTTTGTGTATTTTACTCTATGAAATCGTGCGGCGTTCAACGTGTTAAAAAAATGTCATCTATATCTGATAAAAAGAAATTGAATATTTCTAGTGACAAATTTTTGGAGTGCAAAGGGTTAAGAGTGTATTATTTAGAAATAAAAATATGTTTAAAAAAACATGCTGAAACACACGACGATGCACCGCAACAAGCAACGAGCCAGTTTCCTGTTCGCGAGCATCTATCATGAAACTTTAAAAGACTCAAACCCATCGCTCGTATCGATGCCAGCAAGTTTCAGCGTGTCTGTGCGCCACACGAAGACTCGCTCGTCGTTGCTCGTCCGAAGGCGCGGTAGGTCGCGACACCCGCGTTCCTATAGGACGCCGTGGCCACGATTCCCGTCGAATCCTCCGGCGGCACGGAATCACTTTAGCGAAATAGGTGTACGAAATCGCTTCCGCCGGATTACCGGATACCTCTCCAGCCCCCCTCCCCTTCATTCGTCCGCGCTGCACTCTCTTATCCGGCTTCTTCGCAGCCTCCCTTTACCTCCGCAGAAATTCCAGTGAGAAACGAGCGAAGGAAAAGAAAGCGAATAAAAAGACAGAGAAAGAGCGAGAGAGAAAGATCGAGCGCACCCTCCGCTGTGCCTTTTACGCTCATTCAACCCGCAGCAACCCCGCGAACTGCTCGGCAACCAACCGGGCCACTGGTCCGAACGAGATCCCGTGCCTCGGCTTGAGAAAGAGAGAGAAAAAGAGCGGGAGTCTGCAATGAATCTCGAAGTTAACAACTTTTTCGCCGCAGCAAAGGAACTCTCCATCGGCCGGGCCGGTGTACCGGCCATTGGGCGGGGGAGAAAGTCCGAGAACAAGAGATAGGGACCGAGGGTTGGGAGAGGAGGGTTCACGACGAGTCGGCTGCCGTAGAAGTCAGGCGTTCCGCATCGATCCGCGGCGCCGCGATCCGTTTCGCCTCGCGGAGATCGCTCGCGCCCGTTCGAGCTTCGGCTCGCCTCGGTTGAAACCTTTGGCCCAGGGGCGCGCGCCTTGGTTCCTACATCCGATCGCGCGCGATCCGCGTCCACACACGGCCGACTCGTGTGGGTGGGATAGGCGCGCGATTGTGCGAACCAAGAGGGAGAGAGAGAGAGCGGCG